ATAATGAATTAGGAGAGTATATGAGAATAGTATATAAATTAGGGGAGATGAATGTAGATGATGATACGAAGTTATAGGATAAGCCTTAGAAGAATGATATATATATATATTTAAAGGAGTTTATGATATAGGATTTATAAAATTAAGTACTATAAAATCCTATAAGAAGGTTATAGGTGTTATATGATTTGAGCAGGGAAATGGACATAAGATATAGACAAGTGGAATTATTATGTGATATAAGTATATGACTACATGTGTGAGTTTATATGGTAGTGATAAGACATATAAGATTATATGCAGGTATGATGATATGAGAAAGTGAACCAAGTTCATTGATATTGAATTATGTGAATATAAGAGATTAAAACATAAACTATATGAAATGATATAAGTCATAGGATATGACATGTTTATAGGAACACATGAGAAGTATGATAAGCCATGTGATATAGGAATATGAAATTACATGAGAATTGACATGAACTACGTGATTACATGTATATGTGAATGAAGCTATGAGTTTATATGAATATTTGATATGTTTACATGAATATGTAAAAAGATATAAAAGATAATGCCCATGTTATGTGTCATGAGAGCTAGGGGTATAGTTAGGATGCCAAGAGTCGAGGGTCTACGCGGTCCTTCGGGACATATATGTATCCTTTGGAACATCTATGAGGTCCTTTGAGACACATACTTGGTCCTTGGAATATGTATATGATTCTTAAGGAATTTTCTACGTGGTCCTTAGGGATATTTTATATGGCACTTCGGTGCAATTCTACGTGGCACTACGGTGCAACTCTACGTGGCACTTCGGTGCATTTATCGGAGCTGTGGTGACAGCTTTAGTGCACAACCTCTATAGACTCACATATCTATAGTTCTCACAGATTACATGGGCTAACAAAGAGATATTAATAAATATATGATATTTGATGTATATGCTTTTGGTGAAATGAATTGTATTATATGATTTAAATGACGATTGGTGTATTATGTAGTTAAATGAGTCATGTTGGTTAAAAATGTTAGGCATAAAAAAGGATATGATTACAAGATATGATTGATAATTATATTGATAGTAAAATAAAGTTAATGATGGAAATAATGAATGATGTGTATATGGGTATAGTTTATTATATATGATGTTATATTGTTGTGTGCGATAACATGATATGATAGGTACATGCATGGTTAAGTAGTTAGAGTTACCTTTATATGTTTAATGCCTCTCTAAGTCAACGACTTAGCGTGTGATTGTTTCACACGTTGGTTAAAGAAGCGAGAAGAGAAGCGAAGAAGAGCAAGACAGGTCAGCATCTCCCTTACAAAATTTCAGATCAGAAAATAGATGATTTAAATGTGTTTGGTTAATTTGAATATAGTTGGCATGTACTAATTGATTGAGTTGAATATGCTATGATCGATTTTGATTATTTTGGTCAATATATGTAAATAAACCGTTTTTATTTTAATGAAAGTTTTAAATTGTCTTTGAATTTTTTTTAAGAGTCAAAGTTTGAAAAGTCAATGTGACACCTCAGACTCGTATTCGGGTCGGGTACGGGTCTGAGGGTGTTACATTGATCTTCTGACTTATCCACACCTACGTGTAAGACACTTACATGCTAAGTCATAGACTTAGTAGACATGTAAATATATAAAGTAAACTAACAAATGCATGAACATCTTATGTAATACACATTATACTTATACACCTATTGAACTCATCACTAACATGTTTATCCTTACTTATTTCGTTGTCATTAATTCCATTCCATTATATGAGCATATATTGAACATAAACATATAATATAACTTCAACACACAACAATACATGAATAATTTCTATGATCATATCATACATAACCATATAACATCTCATATCACCATTACACACATGCACTTGTTACAATTTTTATCATATGATCCTAACTTATTACTTACACATTTCACATATCACATATACCATTTCACGAGAAACACACATACCATTATATCAAATTATGTTTCTTTTCAAAGCCCATGCACACTATTGAGAACTTAAGGTATGTGAGTACATAGAGGTTCTGCACAATGCTGTCACCACAGCTCGTATAAATCCCACTAGGGGCGCGTAGAATTTGTCCCGTAGGACCACTATATCCCGAAGGACCACGTAGACCCTCGACTCTTGGCATGCCAACTATACCTATAGCTCTCGTATTATATAACATGGGCATTATTATTCATCTTTTTACATATTCACGTAGGCACATAGTTCACTTTCACATAACATATTTCCATGTAATTCACATTCACTTATCACATAACTTTTCACTTTTTCCTGTATTTCTTTCCACATAGTTCATAGCCATGATTCTTATCTCACAACATATGTTCGCATATATATGTTGTCATACAACCCCTTCATTCAATTATAACATCTAATCTATCTTATTATACTAACATGTATTTATATCATTCATTTCACATACATAACATATCATATAACCTTCTAATAGAGACACATATGAGTCATATTATTTTCACATATATTTTATAATATATCTCATGATCACATGACCTATTATCATACATACATGCATTTATATAGTTCACACATAAAGATGCATTCAATAATTAGACATATGCATTTACTCATATACCATACATCTAACACCATATCACTACATGTTTATGCTTTAGTAATTATATCATATAATATCGGAATTAGACTCATCGCAAGTCTCAATTCCTTAACATAACGTACACTTACTATCATGTACTCACCTGGTCTCAATGAACACTCTTAAGCTCTTGTTTTCTTTGCGTATCTTACTCTGCAGACCTATCCGAACTTTGCTTTCGATCGATGTCTACATAATCATATATTTATACTATCCGTATTCCATTGATATACTATAATCTATAATTTCTTAGACTGAAAGAAAGATTTATTTCATTTCCTATTGAAGTGCATCGGTACATTATACCATGTATCGATGCATCCCTTAACATGTGCATCGATGCACTACCCGTGCATCGGTACACCAATCACCTTCGATGTTTTCATTTTAAGGGGGTGGATCGATGCACTCCTTATGCATCCATGCACTAATGGCATTCGATGTTTATTTATTTGAGAGTGCATCGGTACACATTGAATGTGCATCGATGCACACAGCCCAGAAATTACATCTTGAGCACGAAAATGTCTTGTTTTGACCCCAAATTCTACTTATTAATCCCTCCTTGTACCTTAAAACTTATCTATACATATATAAACCTTCTTATAACACTTTACTATCTTCCATAATCCACCATAATTCTTGAATCAAAGAATTTCATTAAATTTTCCACGTGTTCTAAATTCAATTCTATCACCTCTAACTTCTTAATTAACCCTTTGACAAGCGAAGTTCATTCTGAGAACTTCAAAAACCTTTTTATAACAAAAGTTCATTTCTTAACTCTTAATATAAATTCCTTTCTAATTCTCTCTTCTTGGTGTTTTAAACTTATATAAGCTTTCCCTAAGCTTTTATAACCCCCAAACACTCAAATCCAACTTAAGAATTCAAGAAATCAACCACTACATCAAACTTACCTTTAAAAATAGAAGCCAACGTGAAGAAAGAAGAAGAAGAGATAAGCTTTCCAGATAACTCTCCCCATCCCCACGTGTTATCTTCCTAAATAAGGGAGATAAAAAATATCATTCACTTCAAATTACCATAATACTCTTATAATCCTTTCATATTTACCCTTATAATCCTTTCATATTTACCCTTTTTATCCAATAATGAAATATTTCTATTAAAGTTCTTGAACTTTTAATTTTTCCTAAATTGGTCCCCAAATTTCAAAAATTCTCATTTTAGTCACTGACCCAGATTTCGGGATGTTACAAATCTCCCCCTATTTTAAAGAAAATTCATCCTCGAATTTTCATTTTACCTCAAATGATGCAATCCTTTATAATACTCAATAATTCTTATATTACCCTTACAATTAACCGTATACTCATATACAATTCGCATTCGATACTCAATATATATATATATATCTTTCTTACTTATTCCATAAACAACCTTCATACAACTTATTTACTTGGAAACCATATATTATTAATTTTTAACAATTCATTATTTCTTATTTCTACTCAAATATATTAAAACCAAACTATTTTACCACGATATCGAAATTTACCTGCCAATATCTTTGGGTCATCAAAATCTTCATCAGTCCTTAAATTATAAACTTGGGCAGGTGGTTGCATATCATGTTGAATGAATGTCTCAGATCCATTCCTTCTACGACCTCTACCTCTATTTCGTTAAGGTACTGTAGTAGATCTTTCTCTTTGCATCGTCTCCTCAGTCATAAGTGGACAATCTCGAATAAAATGTCCAACATCCCCACATCTAAAACAAGCTCCAGAGATTACTCTACATACCCCTGTATGATTCTTTCCACAATATGAACATTTCCTGACTTGACTGAGATTTGATATTCTATCAATAAAAACATTTGATTCCAACATATCATGAGTTAGAGAATTCCATTCCCTATTTTTCTTGGATGGAGAGGAGCTCGACGAAGCACCCATTCTTTTGGACTTCTTAACTTTCTGTTCTTTAAATCTTTCATTATTAGCTCTCTCTAGAGCTTAAACTCGATTAACCACTTCTTGAAACGATGACAAATTTAAGGCTATTAGCAACTCTCTTAGCCTATGGTGCAAACCCTCCACAAACCAGTCACATACATCCTTCTCAGTCGGAATAAGCTCAGCAGCAAAATGACTTAACTTATTAAACTCACATTTGTATTCATACACTGTATAATTCCCTTGCTTCAAATTCAGAAATTCTTGCTTCATCTGTCTAATATATTGGTCACCAATATACTTACGATTGAATTCTTCCAAAAAGAATAACTAAGTCACTTGATCACTTCTTAATCTCATGGTGACATTAGTCCACCATATTCTAGCTTGTCCCCTTAACAAAGAAACTATTCCATATAATTTTTCCACATCAGAACAGTGGAGCCCATCCAACATAATCTTAACATTGTTCAACCAAAGATCCATAGTAATTGGATCTTCCTCAGCTTCACCCTTAAACTTAGATGCTCCTAAACCTTTCAATTCTTTAGCTATATTCATTCGAGGAACTGAGGGCGCAGAGGGTTGAAAATGCGACAAATCAACATTTAACGTCCCGAAAAATAACCCTCGATCTCTCACTGGTAGTTCTGGAGGTGTTCGCTCTTCACAATGCCTGGCCAGGACAGGTGAATTGCTACTACCCTCAGGTATATTACTTCTCCTTTCACTGCGAGGACTCTCACGATCAGACATCTAATACATAACAATATAACTTTATTAGAAGACAACATACTCATGACTCTATCAAATCAGAAACTTTCACTTTTTATTGTCATGTACACCTTTTTAAAATACTTTTGACTTCGGTTTAAGCCTAGAATCGGCTAAATCTTAGCTCTGATACCATTAAATGTAACACCCCCAATCCATACCCGACCCAGATACGAGTCCGAGGTGTCACATTGACCAGTCAAAGCATATACTTTTATAAAAACCATAGAAAATTTAAAACTTCTATTCTATAAAGTAATTCTTTTACATAAACTTGTTTAAAACCTTAACATACTCTATCAGAGCGTTCATATACATAATGACTTAGTTACATGCCAACATACTAAATTATATGACAAGACATACTTTACAAAATATTTCTGATCTGAACTTTGCACGGAGATATGTTGCTTTACGGATCCGAAGCTTGATCTTCTGACTTATCCACACCTACGTGTAAGACACTTACACGCTAAGTCATAGACTTAGTGAGACATGTAAATATATAAAGTAAACTAACAAATGCATGAACATCTTATGTAATACACATTATACTTATACACATATTGAACTCATCACTAACATGTTTATCCTTACTTATTTCGTTGTCATTAATTCCATTCCATTATATGAGCATATATTGAACATAAACATATAATATAACTTCAAGACACAACAATACATGAATAATTACTATGATCATATCATACATAACCATATAACATCTCATATCACCATTGCACATATGCACTTGTTACAATTACTATCATATGATCCTAACTTATTACTTATACATATCACATATCACATATACCATTTCACGAGAAACACACATATCATTATATCAAATTCTGTTTCTTTTCAAAGCCCATGCACATTATTGAGAACTTAAGGTATGTGAGTACATAGAGGTAGTGCACAATGCTGTCACCACAGCTCGTATAAATCCCACTAGGGGCGCGTAGAATTTGTCTCGTAGGATCACAATGTCCCGAAGGACCACGTAGACCCTCGACTCTTGGTATTCCAACTATACCTATAGCTCTCGTATTATATAACATGGGCATTATTATTCATCTTTTTACATATTCACGTAGGCACATAGTTCACTTTCACATAACATATTTCCATGTAATTCACATTCACTTATCACATAGCTTTTCACATAGTTCATTGCCATGATTCTTATATCACAACATATGTTCGCATATACATGTTATCATATAACCCCTTCATTCAATTATAACATCTAATCTATCTTATTATACTAACATGTATTCATATCATTCATTTCACATACATAACATATCATATAACCTTCTAATAGAGACACATATTAGTCATATTATTTTCACATATATTTTATCATATATCTCATGATCACATGACCTATTATCATACATACATGCATTTACATAGTTCACACATAAAGATGCATTCAACAATTAGATATATGCATTTACTCATATACCATACATATAACACCATATCACTACATGTTTATGCTTTAGTACTTATATCATATAATATCGGAATTAGACTCATCGCAAGTCTTAATTCCTTAACATAACATACACTTACTATCATGTACTCACCTGGTCTCAATGAACACTCTTAAGCTCTTGTTTTCTTTGCGTATCTTACTCTGCATACCTATCCAAACTTTTCTTTCGATCGATGTCTACACAATCATATATTTATACTATCAGTATTCCATTGATATACTATAATCTATAATTTCTTAGACTGAAATAAAGATTTATTTCATTTCGTATTGAAGTACATCGGTACATTATACCATGTATCGATGCATCCCTTAACATGTGCATCGATGCACTACCCATGCATCGGTACACCAATCACCTTCGATGTTTTCATTTTAAGGGGGTGCATAGATGCACTCCTTATGCATCGATGCACTAATGGCATTCGATGTTTATTTATTTGAGAGTGCATCGGTACACATTGAATGTGCATCGATGCACACAACCCAGAAATTACATCTTGAGCACGAAAATGTCTTGTTTTGACCCCAAATTCTACTTATTAATCCCTCCTTATACTTTAAAACATATCTATACATATATAAACCTTCTTATAACACTATAACACTTTACCATCTCCCATAATCCACCATAATTCTTGAATTAAAGAATTTCATTAAATTTTCCATGTGTTCTAAATTCAATTCTATCACCTCTAACTTCTTAATTAACTCTTTGACAAGTGAAATTCATTCTGAGAACTTCAAAAACCTTTTTATAACAAAAGTTCATTTCTTAACTCTTAATATAAATTCCTTTCTAATTCTCTCTTCTTGGTGTTTTAAACTTATATAAGCTTTCCCTAAGCTTATATAACCCCCAAAGACTCAAATCCAACTTAAGAATTTAAGAAATCAACCACTAAATCAAACTTACCTTTAAAAATAGAAGCCAATGTGAAGAAGGAAGAAGAATAGATAAGCTTTCCAAATAACTCTCCCCATCTCCACGTGTTATCTTCCTAAATAAGGGAGATAAAAAATATCATCCACTCCAAATTACCATAATACCCTTATAATCCTTTCATATTTACCCTTATAATCCTTTCATATTTACCCTTTTTATCCAATAATGAAATATTCCTATTAAAGTTCTTGAACTTTCAATTTTTCCTAAATTGATCTCCAAATTTCAAAAATTCTTATTTTAGTCACTGACCCGGATTTCGGGATGTTACATATTTCCAAAAAAAATATTCTAGTTTTAGTGTCAAGAATACCCAAATTTCTAGCATCATATATCAAAAAGGAGGGATTATATTCTCATCAATGTCAATATCAATAGTTTACCTATCAAATACGTTATTTAAATTAGTAGTATTTTCATGGAGAGGATTGTCATCATTTGAATTTTTATTATTCAAATTTTTATTAAAATGTTCAATAATATTTTCATCTACGTCTGATCCATCATCATCCAAAGAATCTTCTACTCGTTTTGAAAAAAAATTTATTTAAAACTCCCTTTTGTGATTCTACTAATTCTTGAGTTCATTTTTTTCCTTTTTTTCATTACCAGAAGCATATTTTTGCGACAACATTATACTATAAAAATATGAAACAAAAATATAGAATGATAGCACATGAGTCTTGGTCATTGAAGTATTGTCTCATTTTTAACTAAATTAATCGACGGTGTAACACACTCTCACCTATATTATCATAATTAAGAAAAGAAAATAATCAAAAAAATATATAATTGACAACTACAAATTACAAATATACAAAAATTCAAAATTTACATAAATAAAATCAAAACACAATTATAAATTCATAAAATATATTTACCTTAGTTGGTAGAGCACAAGGTTCGTAACCTTGAGGTCGTGGGATCGAGTCCCACGGAGGGCATTTCATAATTCGGAGGTCTCTTACGGAAGCTGCTCTCAACCTGGTGTTGGGGGTAGCCTACTATCTTACCTCCCCCTTACCTTATATATATGGGAAAAAGGGACAGCCATTTTTTTTTAACTTCTGTATCTTGATAGATGAATAACTTTTATATCTTGAGAAATACCAAAAGAGAAATATAAGCTTTAAAATATATAACTCAAATAGAAGAATGATTTTATAGCTCATATAATGTATCAATAATAAAGCTAATCGAACTAAACTCAATTAACACTAACTAATAACTCATTTTCAAGAATATGTATATATATATATATATATATATATATACATACGATACACAATAAGTATAACATTTTATATATAGGTCCTTGATGTTAGTATCGGGCCTAGAGTGATAACTATTATTTGTAGGTATATCTGTAAATAAGTTGAGTCGAGTTTGAGTATAGTTGATTTCGACTCGAATAGAAAAGTTTAAAAGTGTGAGTTTAAAATTTTTAAGCTCGACATGAGCTCAAAAAACTTTAACTCAAGACATTTTCAGACTTAGCTCTATTGAAGTTCAAACTTGAGCTTGGACCTGAACATTAAGTACAAGAAAACCTTATATTGTTATTTTTTTAAAAATATAAATGTTAATATTATTAAAATTTTAATTTTAAAAAATCTAAAATTTAATATATTATTTTTTGAGTTTCTCGCTAGCTTTTCGAGTCAGGTATCAAATAGTTCGCTTCAACTCGTCAAGAATTCAATTCGAGTTCAAGTCGAGTCCATTCGATCTGAGTGTTGATCGAGATCTCAAGTAGCTCGTTATCTATCTCAAAAACCCTTTTTTCTAATAATCTAAGGTGATTATAAGGTAGTATCTATTCAAGATTTTTTCTTAGCCATGGACAATGCACATACATCCTAAATACACAACTGCTCAAACTCAGAACTTCAAGAAAAAATATCATTCTCTTTAATTAAGGATTTCACTCAATGAGATCTAAAAAAAATCACTTTTTAAATGCAATGTTAAACATACCCTAAATCATTTAATTGTCTACACTAAAGCGAAATTTGGAATTCAACCAAAGATAGAATTAGTATAGTTTGAGTATTATCTGCCTAATGGAGAGTGAAAATGCCATAAAAAATAGGAATTCTGGGCAACTTGTGTAATCCAGCGTTTTAGTGGTACGGATTCAATGGTAAATTAACAAATCTGCTGGTTTTATCTTCAAGGTGAAGCATTAAATCTCAAAGGTTTTATTTATCCAAGAAACTAATTTAGATGGTAAGTTATTGTTAGGACCGTCGGCGCACCCCATGGCGTAGCGGAAACAAAAACTCGACGGTCTCACCAGCGATCCAAGTACGAAAAATCGAAATCGGGAGGAAAGGATGCGAATACTTACAACGGGTCCCTTGAAAACAGCAAGAACAACAGTGAATATTAGTGGTGTAGATCGATTCGAATCGAAAGCCTCCACGAAATCACGTCTCGACCTCTACTCAGTTCACCCGATTGAGAGCAATATTTATTTTCCCCAAAACTGTTTTGAGAGAAAACGGCTGAAGCGTTTGTGTGTGTTGCAAAACGGCTGCTAGACCTAACACACCCTTTTATATCCATTATCCTAACATCTTAGGGATTTTAAAGTTGTTTTGAATTAATAAATAAAATATTATTTAATTAATTCAACTTAAATATACATTAAAGACTTATAATCAGAATTACAATCTTTAATATTTACTTAAAACATTTATTTAATTATTTCGAATTATATATATATATATATATATCAATTAAAAGAGTTGTCATATAAATTACATTCTTTTAATGCTTACTTAATATATTCGGGATAATCAAATTCATATGTATATCAAATATACATATCTTAACTTTAGATATATTTTAGTAACGTACAACAAATTGTACATCTTTGCTCATTTCAATCCTAGGGTGTGACCCTGTAGGTTTTTGTAACGTTAGTAGTAATTATTAGAACAATTCTAAAATTACATACAATGAGTGACATCTAGCAATATATCATTGTCACCTAAGTTACAAGAAATATGATTCGACATATCATCTTGGTGATTAACTCTTTTATGTATTACATCTTTATGTCATTTACATCTAGAATAGGCACAAGTCTTGGAATAGTCACACTTGTATAGCTCATCTATTGTTTCTTGATATCTAGAGTAGACTTTAATTAACGAATAATTTGTGATATCTCATATCAACTTATTTGAGCATGACCATGCCTTTCTAGTCTCACTCAATCAAGTGGCCTGTGATATATTTCCTATTATGTAGGAAGGACAAATCCTATCTTAATCATACACACCCACTACATATATTGAGATTTATTCAATAACAGTCTTTATAGAGCAACCAGTTACGGAGCTTGTTTAACTGAATCAAAACATACAATAATATATGTTGGGATAGTATTGATCTCAAGTATGAGGATCATACATATAGTTATCACCATGAGCAATGTTATGACTGTCACATAATAATCCAAGACATATGCTCATGGTGGGTCAATCCAATACATTGTTCTCTGACAATATAATCATGTATCAATTCTGACATCTCTATGTCAATGACAACTCCTTGTCATCAATCAATAATATGTTAGTCTTAAGCGTATTATTATTGTCCATGCCCATAATAATACTTGACTAGGGATCTTTTAATAATAACAATTATGTCATTACATGGACTTTATTATCTTCCAGTTTATGTTAAACACATATATAACTGAAAATAATAGCGACAATGCCTTTATTCAATAAAATCGATAAATAAAAGTATTATTACAATCATCATATGATTGATCTTTAGGCATACTCTAACATTTATATTCAGTGACGGATTCATAAATATTTTTGAAGGTGGATATATATATTAACAACACAAAAATTTTGAATAAAATAGTCATAAATAAAATTTCAAGGTATATACTATTAATAAAATAAGTAACTAACCGAAAAAACTTGAATTTCATGATTGCAAAAATCTAACATCACTCAGAGAATAAGAAAAAGGTGCATTGTAAAAAGATAACTCTATTAAAACGGAAATTATTGCACAACTTAAGATTGATCATAGTTTTCTAATGTCCCATAACATAGTTTGGCAAAGCTAGTAAACTAAACATCAAACCCTTTATGAAATACACTACCATTTCTATCTATCACAATGAACTTGCTGGAGTAGGTTTCAGGTGCAGCGCTCACGGGCCACGCCCAACCTCGAATTCGGCACGTCGAAAAGCACCCGAAGGTTCTGTTGCTGCATGTTGGCTATCACATTCAGCACTGAGTTCACGTTATCCGGCGCTGATGCCATTGCCAAGCATGTGATGCTGCCTGCTGTGCTGTGGATTAGTAGGTTTTCTTGTGGCAGCGTTACGTTCATGCCGGCAAACATGAATGTTATCGTTGGTGCCACGATCGGGACGGTGTAACATGTGTCGAATCCTCCCAGGGATGTCACATTGGCAACCTTAACTCTCCTCCGGAACTCATTCCGGACCGCTACATAGGCTGGTTTCACTAGCCGGGTGAAGACGGTGCCTAAAATTCAATTACCATAGTTTAGTCATACTTCAATAAAGTTGAAGCAATTTTTTCATAGCAAACGATCAAATGATTTCAGTAATAAATGAGTCTTATTCACTTTAGAAGGTCCGGATTTGAGCATCTACATCTACATCTATAGCAATGACGGAACATAGTGGGGACATGTGGAGGCCATGGCCCCTAAAAAATTGAAAATTTCAATTTTAGACCTTTAAAATTTTAAAAAAATTAATTTGGTCCCCACAAAATTTTTAAAATTCATATTAAGCTTTAAATTTTTTTAAAATGTTCTTAATTAAACCCTTCCCATAATTAAAAAAAATTATCATTAAACCTCTCAAATTTTAAATTTTTTTAATTAGAACTAAATTTTTTGAAAAAAAAATATATAAACTGAACTCTTCAAAAAAATTTGAACATTTTAATTTAAACCTCTAAATTTTTTAAAGTTTTAAGTTTCCTCAAATTATATCACCAAGTTCTACCACTGATCTACAATGTGTACATTATCAATAGATTAAGAAAAAAATCTAAACAGATATGTTACCAGAATCAAAGATGGTGCCGGCACCGGTGGAAGGGTTGAAAGCCAAAGCCTTGGGTGGGATGTCAACAATCCTCCTCCCAACTCTAATCCCAATCAACTTCACAAAGTAAAGAGAGGGTCTTCTAGGGTTCTTCAGCAATGGTGTGTATTTGATCCTCAATGGCTGACCGGTTGGTCCAAGTCTCAATGACCCTGAAAATTTTGGTGACCTAAAGCTAGGCAGGCAGTATGAGAAGGTGGATTTGTACAAACTCTGGGTTTGTGAAAGAAGTGATAATCGGCCTCGGCCCAAGCCCATTAAGCCCTGTTGTGGCACTGACCTGCCGGTTATCTTTTGGAGGCAACCGAATACGTAGCTCGGGATAGGGTCGGCGGCGAGGGTGATTGTGTCTCGTGAGAGGTTTGCTGCTATTGATGAGCTGCCGTAGGTCATGTTGAACACGCACGCGCTTCCACCGCAACTGGGATTTTGCACCTGAAATCATCACGTGATATGCAACTGGGAATTTTATTTTTATGTTTATTTAGAAAATTAACAGTAATTTTAATGTGGCAGTAAGGTAATATCACGTTTATATTTAAAAAAATAATTAAAAAATTATATCAGTATCATTGTTAATTTTACTTCAAGCTTTATCATATTGATTAAAATTAAAAATATTTTTAATGAAAATATTGAAAACATCATTTCTTTTATGTTTTTATATTTTCACTTATTTTTGTTTTCATTTTCTAAAAATCATTTTTCAAATTTACAACTAAACGTGTTTTCTTATATGTTTTCTATTATCTAAAATAATGAAAATAAAATTAGACTATATTTTTTTAAAATCAAAGGGACCCCAATATTCTTTAAGGTAAACTATGAGAATAGTCAAATTTATTTTTGATATGACCGACTTTGATCACAAATTTAAAATTTAAGAGTCTAACGTTATCGATCCGTTAAAATTTTAGTCTCTAAGGTTTATGATCCGTTCGATTTTATTCTCTTAGTCATTAACTTCTGTTCGATTCTAGTCCCTCAACTATCGCATATTTATTAAAAGTTAACGACTGAGGGACTTAAACAAAACAGAAGGATAATATTTGAGATCATTTACCCTTAATTTTTAAATTGATGACTAAAATTAGATAGACTCTAAATAAAAAAGTACTATTTGCATAGTTTAGCCTATTCTTTATTATTCTTCAATAAATGTCTGTACATCAAGTACAATAATGCTACAAAGAATTAAAGCGTTGGGGGAAATGTGTTTAAAATACTAAAACTTTTAATATACAAGGAAAATAAAGCAATTTTACCAAGCAATCGGAGGTTTTAATTTAGGAGTAAAAGTTTGGTTGCCGTTTTGCTAACGTAATCGGAAAAGCCAACCGTTGCTTTTGGGTTAGAAAAGCAGCTTTTGACTTGTAGTTGCAAAACGCGCTGGCGCGTAGGTAAGCGTTAAGTGAGTGAGAACTGTTAAAAAAAAAAGTAGGGTCTGGAATTTAAATAGCGTTTGTGATTGCGTCTATCACGGTTACGGATATAACAGATTACGAATATCATGATCGTAAATTTTTTTTGAATGAGCTGATTATTTTAATAAAAAAACATTTTTTAAAAAAAATTAAAATAACGAAATAATAGAAGAATAGTTATCCGCTATTGTCACGATTGGCCGTGATCATTTAAATTACGCCCATGATCCGCTGTTGTTGGTGTGATCCCGCTTCACATCGTTATTTTTCGCGATAGTGATTTCGGACACTACCGCAACCGTGATATAACGGATGTAATACCGTTATTCGACCGCTATTTAAATTCCTGAGAAGAGTTTACCTGCTTGCATTGAGGTGCATGGCAGCCAAGGGTCTTGAAAGTGGAGGATTTAGCGGTGTTAAACACCTTGGAAGAGCAGCCATGGCAGCCATTACAAGGGATCCAAGCAGCATCATTGCTAGTATCCATGGCCATAAGCATGGTTTGCGGCGGTGTTCCAATTCTGGCCATCACAATGTAAGTCGGACTCTGCAAGATCTGCCTGCCTGAAGCTACAGGCACCACGGATTTCTTAGCCACCACCAGGCTCGACAAATATTGCAGCCTAACCTGGTCCTTGGCCAGAGTCAACAACATATCGTCCTCCCACGAGAGCGGCTTCGAGGGTTTGAAGGGAGAGCATGGACTGTAAATGTGGAACACTTGGAGGGTTGAACCATGGTCTTGGGTGTTGCATTTGGGGTTCAGGCCTTGGGTTTGGGAAATGAAGAGGAAAACTAGGCACACAATTAACGTTTTCATTGTTGTGTGGGAAAATTGAAGATAAGCTTTGCTTCAAGGTTTTCTTGCGGAGATAGTATGGAGAGTGACTGTCTATTTATATGTATTTTTTAATAGGCATGATGCCAAAAAAAATTTAAATAAATAAATTATACATGATATTATTGAACTTAGGTGTTATATTATTTATATTACCAAACACTAATTTCTTCAATTATAACAATCAACTTTGATTTTAACTTCAATTATATCACTTGATTGTTAAAATCCAAACAATATGATGATGTAGACAAAAAAAGTTGTTTTAGATACGACTATTGATGCCAAAACGACGTCATTTTAGGCATTAAATTTTAGGGGTTCATCAATTTTGTCATTAAACTTTCAAACAATTTTATTTTTTGCATTATTCATTTTCGGTCGCCTCCGATTGCCCTTCACCATCGTCTTTTTCATTTCTACGAAACTCCTTAAAAAAAATTATTTCGAGAAGATAAACAATATACCATAAAACTAGCATCATCAGACGATCATTGAAAAATATCAGAGTATTAGCACATTAAACTTTTAAATGGATTTTTGTCGAATTTGTGTGAGTTTCGTTAAAACCCAATCCCATGAGAAGGAAGCGGAGTGAAATGTGAACATTTTAGTACCGTTCTTACCATGAAAGACGAATGGTGACGAGAAGTGATTGGCTTGCCGGTTGCAATTGGAAAAGTGCAATACAAAAATGAAATTGTTTAAAAGTTTAGTAACAAAATTGATACACCCTTAAAATTTAATGACTAAAACTATAATATTTTGGGGTTCCATAGTCGTCGGTAAAATAACATTGTTTTGTCCATATCACATGTCGTTAAAATTTAACGAACTAGTTACAAAATTGAAGTTAAAACCAAAAATTCAATGCTATAATTAAATAAATTAAAAATTTAACGTATAAACGATACACCACCTAAATTTCAATAATATCTTATAAGATTTTACTGTTAAAACTATTTTAAGTCTTTAATACCATAATTTTGATTAAAATGATTCTTATTTAGATAAAATTATTTTTATTTAAATGAAAATAATTAAAAGTATTTATTGTTGACGTAATACATTCACATTCACAGATGTCTAAATGATGATGTAATATGGTGTTTAATAATAATATTTATTGTTGGTGTAGTATACACATGAATATATCGTGTTGGTAATAAATATTAATCGTTAGTAAATTAATGCTTTTAATTTGAATAAAGATCGATAAAAATTAAAATGTTGAAGGTTAAAATATATTAAAATAAAAAAAATAAAAAATGATTATTCAATCAAAATTGTCAACAACTGAAACTAAATTTAGTAAAGTTACCAATAACTATCGATAATTTTGCTTCAACTTTATATATCTCTCACGGCTAAAATTCAGGTTGTTTGAATCTAAGATTTTAAAGAATAACAACAATATCCGATTTAGATGATTTTTTTTAAATCTATAACTTTTTTTAAATTTACACACTGACAAGGAACGAAAGATGTCTTGTAGTTATTTTTTCTTGAAAAATATAGTTTTAACCTTTAATTATGAATTTTTAAATTTTTTATCAATAATTTTAAATCTTTAACTTTATTTTTTTTTATCGTGTCATACTTAAAAAATGATTTTTCTCTACAGAAATGCGTCATTATTTATAATGATTTGATACTAAACACAGTTTTATAGTTTCAAACATCAACATAACTTCAATACCTCCTTAAACACACCGTTTCATTTTATTATATAGTCAATTTTTAAAAAATAAAATAACCGATAATTACTAATAATTTTATCAAAATCAATTTCAATTATAGACTATTTTAATATTTAATATAACATTCACCATATTTCCTTAAATATTTTCTTAAATTTCTGTTCAAGTATAATATTTTATTAATTTAACCAATACTTAACGTTATTCCTTTTTAGTACAGTGGAGATTTAGACTCAGATAAAAAGGATGACACATATTCATAGACTAGGATAAAAAAATAATTAAATATAAAGAATAAGCTATTTAGTATTTAAATTATTAATTTTATTTTGTTATGATATTTCGTTATTAAAAATTTAATGGTAATATTGATGTGTTATCATAAGATAATATTACATTATTATTAGAAAAAAGTAAAAAAATGATATATCAACAGTTCTATTAATTTTTTAAAGACGAATATCAAATTAAAACACAAATTAGCCTTTAAATATAGTTTTAAAAAAAATTTAAGGAATCAAACAAAATAAATGTAATAATTTACCCTAAGAATTTTTTATAACATTTTAACATTTCACTATTTAAATGCCAACTTTACACAAATATTGAAATATAAAAGTCGAGTGGAAATTGAGTGTTAGATTAGTGCGTTAATTTTGCGAACAGCTGTATTCCATTTACTTTTTTTAGGCAGCCCTTCCCATCATTCTTGTCAAATCCTACCTTGAAATAGTATCTATTGTTTCCCTTTTTACATTTTCAGTAATATATATATATTTTTTGTAATTTCAATTTTTAAGTATTCGTTTTGATTAATTTAAACCAATTCATATTGTATATCTAATTGTAGTTAGTAAATCTTCTAATAACATTTTTTACATACACGAAAAATCAAACTTTAAACTTAATTGATATAAAAAATATTTATCACTTGAACCAATCTTAATAATATTTTCAGTAATATTTTTATGACACACTACTGGAAAGAAAAGAGAGATTCTGTAGCATGATTTAGGACAAGTTTTATTGAAAAAATCTTTTTAAAAAATGTAGTGCATTATGGGAGGAAATATAGTTCATGGTGGGGGATTGGGCAAATCTCAAAATATTCTCATTGAATACTGCAAAACAAAACTCTAGATTTTACCTGATATCTAAAATTGAGGGCGTATAATTTATTGATAAATCAAATTATAAGTATCCGGGTCAAAATTGTTAAAATTATTATTATTAATTATTATTATTTAATTATTACTATATTATTATTATTATTATTATTATGGTTATTTTTATTTTATTTCTTTTATAGGCCTATTACGATATATTCAAATTGGGCCCAATTACATCTCAAGGGCTAATCGGCCCAAAATCTAGCCCAACCACTAGGGTTTCCAGCCGCTGTCGTCAGCAGGAGAAAGCGCTCGCCGCCATCACTTTTCCGGTCACCCACTCCCGTCATCAGGCCGCTGCCATTTCAACTGCTCAACATTATCATCTCGCATTAATAGTTGTTGACATCGTTTTTCGCCCGTGCGGGGTAAGATCGATACCGACTCGGGGGTTTTCTCTTTGAAAATCGGTTCGGAATGTGAGGAGTCACCACCAATCAGTTAAAATGTGATTGGAACACCATAAAAACCAATGATTTTAATATAACATTTTCTTTTTATCAAAATATTGAGTTTTGGGGTTTATGAAAATTCATAAATCAGGTTCGGGAGTTAGTTACGCGTGGGGAAGGATTAACACTCCCACAAGCGCCCAAAAATTGGTATATAGTTGATTACCCTATATTTAAAATCGGAAATTTTGAGTTCGATCTTTATTTAATTTAAAAATCATTAGGAATGTAGAGTTTGAAAAGGGAAGTCTTTTCTTCTCGATAGAAAATAATTAAATATTATCACTTTTCGTACTAAAATTCAAGGAATGTGTTTAAAAAGGAGCCTTAAATTTATTTTATTTTATTTTATTTTTATTTATTCATTTAAATTTGGAATTAATAATGAACTTTAGGATATAATAGTAATATTTCTTTATTTCTATTAGAGAAGGAATTGACTGATTTAAGGCATGAGAGATCGTTTCTTCTTGATAGGAAATAATTAAATATTATTATGTTTAGTCCTAAAATTCAAAGGATATTATTTATAGGGATCTTTAATTAAATTAAACTCGAATTCTTAAATTTCATTGCAAAGACAACTAATTAATTGACTAGGTACTGATTAGGGCATTGTGGGGGTGCTAATCCTTTCCCACGCATAAGCGACTCCCAAACTCAAATTTTTGATAACGTAGATCGTAAAATTGTTGTTTCAATTAAAATTATTATTTTTATTAAAATGACAAATATGTTTTTGGGAGCCCAATCACACCCTAATCAAATATTGGTGACGACTCATCAAACAGTTTTTTATGTTTTATTTTGATTTTTTTAAAAGGAGACCCCAAATTAATCGATACGAGATTTTCTTAAATTACTTTAAAAATTAAATTTTTTTAGAAAAAACGTTTCGACAAGTACTTGTACGAATAAAGTGATCTTAATTGTTAAGGGATTATTGTTATCTCTTGAAGTTTCGGGGTCGAGCATCGAGTATGTAGAGATATGAACGTTCATTATTAAATGATTGAGAGTCTTTAAACATATACTACCTTGTATTCACTCTAGATTTATCAAAAAAATATTATGTGCACTTTTTATTTTTATAAAATAATTTGGTTTATTAATTCTAAAAAAAATGTGAATCAAATATATAATATTTTGGATTTGTTTATTAATTTATTGAAAATATTATTCAACTTAAATTTAATAGTTTTAATTACTTAAATATTTTTTTGAACGATTTCTATCTAAGGAGAGCGGGAATGAGATTTTTTGCTTTAATGGGTATTAACCCACAATTTAGAGAAAATGGGAGATATGAACCGAAAAAAGAAGAAGAAAACATTTGAGTCCCTACTCTCACGACAATGATTTCATTGCATCATCTTTAGAGAGGAAACTCAGGCGCAATTGAGGGGTATCACAACCCCATGTTAAAACAGAAATAGCAATTATATTCCACTTTTATTTTTTTAATAGCTTGAGATGATTATAAAGATATTATCTATTTAAAATATTTCTTAATTATTGACAACGTACGTATATTATACAAGCGCAGATGATCAAACCAAAATTTTTAAAGAAGAATAACATTCTTTTTATTTACTGAGGTCATTTGACGGCCTAGACTTGTAATTGAACTGAACGTTCAGCGAACCGTTCATGAACCGTGCGGCGGGAAGTTCATTTATGTTCGTTTATTTATT